TAAAAATACTTATATAACAGTATCCTACAATCTGATGTCATTAAATTTATAATAGTAATTTTTATAATTAAATAAAAATATTACAAATGTAAAAATTATAATTAGTATCTGTACTTAAAATATTTAAACATAAATTACACGAATTTTCAGATTTCCTAGTGACCTTTTCGGAAAAGAAAGTCACAAACAGTTGGTATCACAGAATGATACCAATGAAGGCAGTCTCATAGCCCATAAACACAAGGGAAAACTGATACTTCCCTCAAGTGATACCATAGCTATTTGTCAGCACTGCGAACTCGAAATTACGAAGGGTGTTTTTTTTATAGAACAGGGGGCAAACGAGCATGCGGCTCACCTGATGTTAAGTGACTACCGCCGCCCATGATCAACCGCAACACCAGGGGAATTGCAGGTGCGTTGCCGGCCCTTTAGAAAGGAGTAAGCTCTTTTCTTGAGGGTCCCCAGGTCGTATTGGTCCTGAAAAATCGCCAGTGGTAGACTGTTCCACAGAGAGGTCGTACGCGGAAGAAAACTCCTTCTGAAACGTACAGTGGTGGACCGCCAAGCATCCAGATGTTGTTGATGGTATCGGGACGTGTGCTGCGTAGTGCGTTCACGAAATTTGGTGGCTGGGATTAATCCGAACTCCCTCACAGCACTTCCCGTAATAGATGCGATAAAATACGCAAAGAGATGCAATATCTCTTCTTAACGCCAGTGAATCGAGCCGATCGGAAAGCACTCGGTCGTTGACGATTCAAGCCGCTCTGCGCTGGATGCGGTCAAGTGGAAGGAGCTGGGTGTTCAGAATAAAAGACTAAAAAAAGATTACACAACAGACTTTCTTCTGCCGAAAGTGACAGAAACGTTGCTGCAACCTCCGTTGTACGAAGACATTAATTTCCATAAATTTTAAAACGACGATGTGAATCACGTCGAAGGATTAACGAAATCCGTTTTTGAAAAGTATATAAATATTAAAATTGCTTATATAAGAAAACAAGCAAACAAAACAAATTCTAAGAAACACATTTTAAAAAAGATGACACATAATAAACCTATTTAAATAATTTAAACTTAACAAAAAATTTGATGTTTATCATAACTAATTGAATAAAAAGTCCATAACAATGTCCTTCTTTTATTTTAATTAAAATACCGAAGCTTACCTCACCTTCATTATCCCTTTATTTCCTTTGTCTTACAGCTTATTTACGATACACCTTTTCTTTCTCAGTCGTTCATCGATATATTTTATCGACAACGTTCAAGCACTAGAAATAGAGTGAACTTCTACGAATTTCGTATCTGTGTTTATATTAACGTAATAAAATCCCTGTGTGCGTGATTCTCCACTTGGTTGTACGAGTTTTCAAACATTTGTGTATTATGTTGGGTCCAGTGGTTAATTCGTTCAAGCAGGGCCTATAGTAAACTACTGTAATACTAAACACCCACAAAATTGTAATCTATAGATAGTAAATAAACGTCATCATTACAGCTACTCACAAGTCCACTGCTTAACACAGGCCTCTTCATAGGAATGCCACAAAGCACGGTCCTGAGCCCACTTCTATACTTCGCCTGCCGGTACGAGTCTGCCACTCGAGAACCTGTATTTCGCATCGGTTATCGGTTTTTCGAGTTATGCGGCTGGTTTATGTTGGTTACTCTGTTTCTCCTCACTCCTAAGTTTATCACGCAGAGAAATAGCATAGCCCTCTTTATAGCTTGCTAAGCCAATTAGATCTTCCTTATACGGCCGGTGGTGAAGGATCGCGTTTTAGATCCATAGGTCATCACTGGCAACACGAACTATAGGTATACCTTGAGGTATAGGCTTGAGGTATACCTGACGAGAAGACGTGTCGCAATCTCCCTAACGCTGCCTAGCCGACTTGAATCCGTCGATTCACCTCTCGAACGAAGTTGGACTTACCTATTCTCGTCATACTCGTCAACAACTTCGAGATTAGTGCTCTCAACAACCACCGGCATAGGTGTGACATGGACAACTATAATAATAATAATAATGATATATGATAATAATAATTGCCGTATTACAAGTACTTGCCGGAAGCCGTGCTCGAAAATGATCGCGCCAGGCTCTATTGGGACCGGGCCATCATCACGGACAGGACTATTCTTGCGAATAAGCCTGATATTGTGCTGATGGACCGGGCACAGTCAAGGATATTTTTGGTCTACATTACCATTCCGTATGACGAGAACCTCGTGAAAGCCGAAACAGACAAGCAAACAAAATATCTGGACCTGGCTCAGAGGTGACTGACATGTGGGGTGGTCTGCCGACCGAAATTATTCCTGTAGTCGTCTCTGCAAACGGGCTAATCTCAGTCAGCCTCTCGGGTCATCTGAGGCGACTGGGACTACGTGGCGGACCGCTCCGGGCTCAAATGCAGAAGGCGGTGCTCCTCGATACCGCCCGCATCGTCCGCCGGTTTCTTTCCCTTTCCCCCTAACCCTCGGCCGTTTGGTCTCCCCTGCCGAGGGCCTCCATCTGGTTGGGCTTTTATTTATTTATGTATTTTTATATTTATTTTATGTTATTGATATTTATCTATATTTATCTTTTCATTTCCATTTATAATTATATATTTATAGAACCCAACCAGATGAGAAAACTATATAGATACCCCATAATAATAATGACACAATCGTACATAGACACAGTCGCCTCCCTCAACTGGCTACGTTTCGGTGATCTCTTCGGGAAAACCGAGGGTTTTGTCTGTGCGATACAAGATCAGGTTATTAAGACCAACAACTATCGGAGATACATCCTAAAGGATGCTACCGTCGACATCTGTCGAGCTTGTCACCATCCCGGTGAGTCACTTAGGCATGTCATCTCCGGTGGTTCGGCGCTTTTTAACTCTGAGTACTTGCACAGGCAAAACCTAGTAGGCAGAATTCTACACCAGGAGCTCGCTCTGAAATAGTCTTGTGAACCGGAAACTGCCGTATTACAAGTACTTGTTCCGACAAGTACTTGTAATACGGCAGTTTCCGGCCGAGCCGTGCTCGAAAATGGCCACGCCAGGCTCTACTGGGACCGGGTCATCATCACGGACAGGACTATTCTTGCGAATAAGTATTCTTCAAAACTTCAAACATGTTCAATCGAAAGCAAACATTATTGAAAATAAGAGTTTTTTTGGAGTGGCTTCTTATCTTTTATTCTGTTACTTGGCTTGTGGTACTTAGTTCAGTCAAACTCCTTAAACATAGCTCTATAAAAGTTTTTTCCTTGCAAAGCAACTAAAATGGCTTTTGATTTATTTTACTAGTGGTCACCCAGTGGTTGAAATTCGACCGTAATTCATTAAATTTTAGGTTTGTTTATTAAGAAAACTGTATTTTACTTTCAACTACATAATAATATATAAAACATAAATATCTAATATAAAAAATATAAAATAAACCATTTTTTTCCTTGGCACCCCAGACCATTGATTTATGTGTTGTATAACTCAATGCTCCAGACATTACTGAAATCACATTATTAATTTACAGCTTATTTAGTCAATTTTATTCTTTGGCGTCAATAATTGCTCAGTGTAACTATATGGCCCACGGACAAATTAATTTGTCCAAGGTGACCTATTTATGACAGACTTAAAATAAATATGTGTCATTGACGTAGGAGTAATAATTGCGGCCATACTTGCCAGGCGTAAAGTGGCAGTGGTGTTCCTGCAGGAGACACGGTGGAAGGCCAACGGGAGCCGGAATATTGGGCACGGCTACAAGCTGATCTATACAGGCTTTTCTGGTGGGGAGAAAGGTGTGGCAGTGGTGCTTGCCGAGCATTTCCACGATAATGTCTCGGAAGTTAGACGCATATGCGACCGACTTATGGTAGTAAGGTTGCTTGTTGAGGGGGTCGTGAGCCACTTAATAAGTGCCTACGCCCCACAGGTCGGCTGCAGCGATGCGGAAAAGACGCTGTTTTGGGATCGGCTCGGAGATATACTATGCGGCATACCGTTGTCCCACGATGTCGTGTTGGGTGGCGACCTGAACGGTCATGTGGGTGAGGTGCAGGGGGAGTATGGACGTGTCCACGGCAGCTATGGTTACAGCCTAAGAAACGCAGAGGGGGAAACCATTCTCAGAACCTGCACTGCAGCTGACCTGGCCGTCGTAAACACGTTCTTCAAAAAGAAAACCGAGCACCTGATTACCTACAGGAGCGGTCGGAACGCCACTCAAATCGACTATCTACTGACCAGGAGAAGTCATATCAGTAGCGTGGACAACTGTAAGGTCATACCCGGTGAGTGTCTCACTGCCCAACACCGACTTCCGACTCTGCGTAAAACCCCTCGCAGACACGCCGAACGTTGCCGCCGTCAAATCAAATGGTGGCTGCTGGATCAAACCAGATACTCAGAGTTTGACTCTGCCGCTGGGGATATTAGTCTCGACACAGCAGGCAAGTCCGTCCAACAGTGCTGGAAAACAGCAATCACAAAGACGGCAAAGCAAGTCCTCGGCGTGGCGAAAGGGGTCGCAAAATCGACAAGGAGACCTGGTGGTGGGACGTCACAGTCCAGGGTTCATTACGGGAGAAGAAAGCGCTCTTCAAGACGTGGCAAGCGACCAAATCTCCTGAAGATCGCGCATCTTACAAGACAGCGAAAAGAGCTGCCAAGAAAGCCGTAGCCAGAGCCAGGCGTGACTACTTGCAACCATTATATGCTAAGTTGGACACTACTGAGGGGCACAAGCTCATATATAAACTGTTGCGCTCTAGGGCCAAAGCAGCGCAAGATATTACTCGCTGCTGCAGCGTCAATGGCCCTAATGGCGAGCTCCTGTACGATGATCGTGCGGTAAAGGAGAGATGGCGCTCTTACTTTCACGTTTTGCTGAATACTCAGCACCGGGAAATGCACCCTCCCGAACAACTCCCGAACCATGGACTCGTGCCACCGATTACGCCTGACGAGGTCCTCGCATCTCTTTGTCACATGGAGAATCGGAAAGCTGTCGGACCGGACGAGGTGCCAATTGAAGCGTGGAAAGCGTTGGGGGCTCGTGGTGTGTGCATTCTTACTAACCTTTATAATAGAATCCTGAGCGACCGAATAATGCCCGATCAGTGGCGGCTTAGTATAATAACGCCGGTCCACAAGGGTAAAGGGTTCGTTCAGGATTGCGGTAATTACCGCGGTATAAAGATGACGTCACACATCATGAAGCTCTTCGAGTGCATTATTGACACCAGGATCCGACAGGAGTATACAGTATCGGACTCCCAGTACGGTTTCCAACCAGGACGCGGTACCATGGACCCTATATTCGCCCTAAGGATCCTCTGCATTTTTTATTCCTAGACCTGCAGAAGGGCTTTGACTGTGTTCCTAGGGAGACGATCTGGTGGGCGTTGCAGTCGAAGTTGGTACCAGAGACCTATGTGGAAATTGTACGTGATATATACCGCAACTCCAATTCAATAGTCAGGACCGCTGTTGCTGATACCACCCCCTTCCCCATAACCATAGGCGTGCATCAGGGCTCTTCAGTGTGATATTAGACGAACTGTCAGCCAGCGTACAGAAAATACCGCAGCCTTGGCTGCTTATGTACGCTGATGATATCGCACTGGTAGATGGGGACAAAGGATGGCTCACCCGACGCGTGCACGCTTGGAGGGAGGCGCTTGAGAACGGCGGGCTGAAGCTAAACGTGGCGAAGATGGAGTATATGGCCTGTAACAGCACAGATCTGACGTCTCTCCGTATAGGCGACGACACCGTCGAGCGCACGGACAACTTCAGGTACCTCGTATCTGTGCTTGATGCGTCCGGGGACATCGATCGCGACATCAAGGCCCGTATATCAGCGGCCTGGGTGAAATGGCGCGAGGTGACAGGTGTCATTTGTGACCCCAAAATGCCGGTCAAGCTGAAGGGACAGGTCTATAAGACCATCATAAGGCCTGTCCTTACGTACGGCAGTGAAGCGTGGCCGGTGCTGGAGTGACACCGTCAGTTGTTGCATGTCACGGAGATGAACATGCTGCGGTGGATGTGTGCGTCACGCGGAAAGACCATGTATATCGCCAATTGTTCGACAAACTTCCGCCTAGGACGTCCCTTTCCGACTCTTCCATTCACTTCTGCAACATATGTTTGCTTTGTCAGTCTTTCCGCATTCATTCTTTCTACATGACCAAACCACCGAAGCATTCCTTTCATTATATATATATATATATATATATATATATATATATATGTATATGTATATGTATATTAACAGGGAATGCTTCGTTTCCAGTAAAAAGAGTCTGCGGTTCTCTACACTCACCATACAGAACACACTAGCTGTTTTACGCTGGTATTCTGTGAGAGGGTGGTCCTGCCCCGGTCGAGCCGACCCATCCTCGAGGCCGATCTTGCGACAGCTATAATATAGCTGCAGCATGTCTCTACCATGTACACTACTGGAAAAATTACTGAATAACTAAGAAAAACGGTTTAAGAAAGAATATCTTTAGTGATGTTAAAGTTAAAAGTTAATATGTGCTTGTACTTACTCTGAGACGTTGACATGAACGTAAACAATGGTGAATGTTTTATTTTATTTTATTTAATCTATTTAACACAGATTATATGTAATTAATTTTAAATTTTAGCGTTCTGCAGACTTTGTCCATAAAATTTTTTCTTATGCTATCTCACATTTCTCCGTGCACGCAATATGCTGCAAAGTTTTACTTTACGTAATAATATATATAGATTAGGACCAAAACAGTAGCACGATACTACTACTACTACTACAGCCGACCCCACAAGTCCACTGCAGAACATAGGCATTCCTCAAATTTTGCCACAAAGTACGGTCATGAGCTAATTGCATCCATCAACTGCCTGATTGTATCATCAAGTCGTCGCTCCTTTTAGTGGAGTGGCGTCCAATTAACATGAGCATTTATTTTTTGACTCAAAATGGGACATTGGTTTATTTAGGTCAATTAACAGGTAGTCAATAAAAAAAAAAACACTTTTTTAAAGTTATTTATTCAGAAAAATTCAGTAAGCTTAAAAATTAAGAATTATATATATTATACTACGAATTGTATTACGAATTATATATATCCGAAACATTTAGTTATATTTATATTTCTCACAGGAACAAATTTGCTTTAATATAGCAGGTATTAAATAAGAATGAAACTCTCGGCACCTTTTTTATAATTACCTAAATTACCAATATCGCCTTTAGAACTGATATTTGTAGTTTGTCAAAAACTGCTGCATCTTTATTACAGTCAATATATTCCTTTTCAATTATTACATTCAGAGATTTTTGAACGTCTTCCCATGCGGGAAACTTTTTTCAATCTGCCCAATAAAATATCTCCATTTCTTTGGTAAGAAAGCAAGTCCACTGCTCCAGATATTCACGGCTTGTGTCATGAAATTCTGTAGCCGCCCTTTTCACCAATTTTTCATCTATGTCAGTAACAGTATCTTTCGATAATAAAAACATGTCTTTTCTATAAAATTATCTTTTATTATTGATTTTATCAGCTTCAAAGCCAATACATCCGAATTTCAAGTTTCAATACAATTTGATGAAAACTTGCTGACTGAGAGTATAAAAAATAAAGCCGTAATTCGGATGTGGGATCTTCAAAAAAGTTTTTTAGTAACACCAATACAAATTTTCGCGCGGTTTCAGAAAACGGGACAAATTTGCGTTCCAGAGTTCATTTCGGGGACACCGGGACTCGTAACTATAAAAAGGGACAGTCCCGTTCAAAACGGTATGTCTGATCACATTATTAAAATTGGCCATACTGCGATAGCACCATACAACATACAAGTTTAAATAGTGTTTAGACAGATTTACTCCATCTGGAGTTTCATTACCACTTTTACTGTAATCCCACCTGATTGTAATCAAGCACTGGTTTATAGTAAGTAGATTACAAGAAAGAGCCAAACCACAAACGAGTGGTAAAATTAAAAATTTTGTACAACCGACTTCAATTTATACATATAACAAAACTGTCGAATGTCGAGTCATCTCTGTAATTTTTATAAAATTTTCTATGTAGCTAATTAGTAACCTGGGGCAACTTATAGGCTACATTTTATAAGATTACGAAACTTTAAAAAAAATTCAAAAATTGTTTATATTTTAGTTTTTTCGTTATTTCATTTTAAAAGTTTATTGTATATATGATAGGGTGACAAACGAGCACACAGTCCACCTGATGGTAAGTGATTGCTGTGGCTCATAGACATCTACATTTATCCCCGATTAAGAACGAAGAAGAAAACGAAGATGCGTTGTCACCTCTGAGAATTAAGATGGAATGCCTCGTTTCCAGTAATAAAGGGTCTTCGGTTCTCTACACTCACCATACGAAACACAGCAGCATTAGGCTACTATTTTACGTTGGTATTCTGTGAGAGCGTGGTCCTTCCCCTGTCGGGTCAACCCATTCATGCTACAACTATACTACTAATATAACTGCAGCATGGCTCTAGCACGTAAAAGTACAGTGTAATAATTTAAATAGATAATAGTGATGTCTCACAAACATATATAAATTGATGGTTTTTAGTTCAGTAGAAGTATATACGAGGGCGACATTGAAAGTTTTTAGAACTGCCCACTTGTAAACGATATAATAAAAAATTTGTTCAAATTTTTAAAATAGAACTCTTTGCCAATATTATTGTGTATGTATTTTAATAATTTGTCATTTGTTTACGATTTGGCGGCAAATTGAAAATTGTCTGTGTCACGTCAGCATGAATTTAACGCGAGAAAATTTTTATACAAGAATATTATGATGGACCTCGATTGGCATTTCACGACGAAGTCCCATCTCGTGCCACTGTTTACAACTGGTTTAATGAGTTTACACGTGGTTGCACTAATCTCACCGATGATCTGCGTGACGGACGGCCTTATACGGCGACGACTGAAGATAACATCAGTGTTGTGCGGCGTATGATAGAGACTGACGAAAGAGTGACTTATCAGCAGATATAGACAAGCTTAGGCATCGGTATGAGTCAAGTGCACAAAACCCTCCATGAAAATTTAGTGGTCCGGAAGTTTTATGCCCGGTAGATACCTCATAATTTGACAGAGGCCCAATAACACTGACAATTGTTTTTGTACCACTCTGCAGCAGTAACTGTTTTTCGTGATTACATGATATTATGGTCATATCGTCAAATAGTTTTTACCGTTAGCGGCGCTGATAGCGTATTTTAAACACAAACAGAGTTTGGAGCACAATCAATGCTACTTTATGCCTTATTTATATAATAAATAAATTTTCGCAGCTTTCCCGTCGCACCACAACCTTCTATCGGTGATATAACTAGATAGTATCGTTTTAGCTTTCATTACTTCATCTAATAATAGCGCCATCTACTTACTGCTAAATAAACTAATGATAAGTCACTGACGAAGTTAGATAATAGAATGTTACTGAATACTTATTCGTTTAGAATCAAATCTTTAAATACACAGACCGGTGGCCATTGTCGGGATGATTTACCGCAATTACCACCTTTGGCAAAATGACTAGCGACACTGTTATATTATTTAATACTGTGTATAGAATATTGTGATTAAGAGGGAAGCTTTTTAGTTAAATATATTGGGTGTCTATTGGTATAGCTTTAATTTCACCAACTGCATTTGTTATGAAGTTATGACACGTAAATAATTTAAAATTAAGTGCACATATTTATATCATTATTTATATATTTGATGGAATAGTTCTTGACATCGTTGGATGTCTAATTACTGGGTAGATGTGATAAACAATCTTGAAAAAGCTTTGTTTCAGTTCACAGACGCAAAACGTGTGCCCTTTCCTCTAGGAAAAATGTATCTGTTATAGGAAATTTTATGTATTCACTTGCGACGTGTCCGGTGAAGTGGTGAAGAATAACTTCGTGAGGAAACTAAGATGTCTGAGCTCTTAAAAAGTGTTTTAATTACAATTTGAAGTGTCAATTTATGACGTTTTCGACGATTCTCGACGACGGTCGTTTCTTCATGAAAACATCGCGAAGAAACTTGCATATATGGTTCTCCAGTTGGCAAATCCCGATCCCCCAGTAATGACGATGATGAGATGTAGGCTGCTACTTTTTACATTTAATGCGTAGAACTCATCCTCGTCACTATTACAACCTATCAAAAGTCTACTGAAATGAACATAAGCCTCCCGCATAAATTGTTAAACAGGCTGAATAGTTGTTGTGACCATATGAGAAGACAGATTCTCTTTCTCCGCCGCCACAAGGCGAACGTTTCTATACACCCGTTCACGAGTGTGGTTCTTCCTACGTTCATT